CCTCTATCCAGTGTGTCTTGAAAACCCACTCGTTCAATACGGCACAAAATAATGTAAGTCCAAATATAGTAATAACAGTGATTTGTCTCTGTATTCTGATGAGTAATATATTTTCAGCATGCGGGAGGGGGCTGTTTGATTGTGAAGGTGGTAAACATCCTTCTTTTCTATCAGAACTTATTTCAGCTAGAGGACTGAACCATTTGACAGGGAAACCAGGGAAGGCTTCATTCACAGTGTTTCCCCTCTTCAGGGAGAAGTGGTGGTATGTTCCAGCTGGAGTCCAGGAGGACCACAGACTCAGTTAGCATGACTGACTGGGATAGACAAATAACAGGAAAAAGGTAAACATGTACACATATGACTATCTGCAGGAAATGAACATCAGGATGGGGACATCCAATGATCACCTGACACTGTCAAGCAGAGCCCCCACTCCCCCAATCCCTCAAAAGGAAATAAATGCCTATTGTTTACAACATCAATTATGGAAAGGCCTCTGGAGGGGTTGAAATCATCTGGCAAACTGAGATAGATGGATACCCCTTCCATAACTCATTTTCTGATAATTGACGATATGCTAAGATCAGAATATATTACCCCCTCAACAAAACAATCACATTAATTACGTGAACTTACGCTCAGACGATGTCCACTCTGGAGCACCTCCCAGCCCCAATATTACCAGCACTGTCTACCGGCAGCCATTCATTTGCATTCTTAGTCTTATTCAGTGGTTTTATAAATGCCTGAGTAACAGGGTATAGGCTGGGGAGCAGGAAAAAAAACAGATGCATAAACAGTGGAAACAGACTGAAGAGGGGAGGAAAATAATACAGGTCAAGTAACCTTCAAACAACACCATAACACGGTTACTAAAATACCAAGCAGCCCTCACATCTGTCTTAACCAATATAAGTACAAGTCTGAAAATGATGTCATCATTTGGCCACATTCCAGGTAAATTCATTCGTTGGGATCAAACAGTGCAAACACTCATTATACAGGATTTATAATTATCATTATTACATATCTAACAGGCAACAAATAGGCTGACTTTCAGCCAAAGAAGAGCCAAAATGCCCTAAGATAACACTGATCTCATAAAGTATAGTTTAATAAATGATACCACGTCTTCTTGCAGTGTATGAATGCTACTTATTAATACATTTGCAGAGCACATATTTTATAAAAAAAATCCAACCATTTGCCAAGTAAATGGTAGAATGTCTAATCTAATCTTTTTATCTGGTTAACGTGCCGTTTCTGTGATATTGTCAAGCTACCAGCAAAGGCAGGAGCAGGCATGAGGCCAAACAAGATGGAGTTTATTTAGAACTGACAAGGCAAACAAAAGGTAGGACCACGTGGGGGCAAGCAAAGGTAGGACCACGTGGGGGCAAGCAAAGGTAGACCACGTGGGGGCAAGCAAAGGTAGACCACGTGGGGGCAAGCAAAGGTAGAGCAAACACCAGTGAAAAGCACAGTAGCACACATTGGGACAATGCTAATGACCGGACTGGGGAGCGCAGGACTGGGAGGCGCTCTTGTACATCACTAACGAGGGAGCAGACGAGGGGTAGCTGGAGTGAGACACATGAGGGCTGAAATGAGAGGTAAGACAAATTAGTAACATTAGAGCCACACTGGTGAAAGAAGAAAGGGGCAGGAGTGCAGGGCATGACAGATATACAGATTCACTTAATTCCATCTCGGCTGCACATTGTCAGAATGCAGTATTCTGTAAAAGCCACCCTTGTCCCAGAACTTAGTTAAAATGCCATCCTTCGAGTGCTGTGTGAAGATGGCAACACAAATGAAAAGTCTCTTTGTAATATAGTCTGTTATATCCTTGTACCTCTGTGGGACTGTGTCTTAACACAATGCACTATTACCTGCTTTAATCTGATAGCCATGAAGTTACTGTGTGATTCCTTTTCACCTGTGGCTTAAGCTTGTTAATTGGAAGCCATAGCAGATATTAACAGGCGTCATTCTGGCAAATTCTGTCTGTCACAATCATGTCTTTATGCCACTGGACCTGCAGGACACAGGGGCTCTGGGTGGGCTAGGTGACACCTGTTCAGAGCTTGAATAGAGAACAGCTTGCTCCTCATCAAGACCAAGAGGTGATAACAGGACCCCTTGGCAGGGAATCTGATTGGCTCAAATTTATAATTTGTGCCACTATCGCCATGGTGATACATCCAAAGGGCTTCATTTATGTGGAGAAGCAATCACACCTTCCAGAAAAGCAGGTCTGTAACCTAATTAAGAAAGAAAATATGACAATGCCATTAAATCATCCATCTATCCATTTTCTGAAACTGCTTATCCTGTTCAGGGTTGCGGGGGGTCTGGAGGCTATGGGTGCAAGGCAGGGAAGAACCCAGGAGGGGGCGCCAATCCACCACAGGGCACACTCATACACACACATAGGAACACATCTATGGGCAATCTGGTAACTCCAGTGAACTACAGCATGTCTTTGGACTGTGTGTGTGTGTGTGTGTGTGGGGGGGTACCCAGAGCATGCAAACGCCACACACATGGAGCCCTGGAAGAGACTTGAACCCAGGTTTCAGGCAACAGTGCCACCCCCGCCATTGAATCACTGTCTATAAATTTTACTTATTCAAATATGATTTGTATATATAATAAAATACATATGTATATACATCTCAGTAACCATCATTTCTTGGTCAGTTTGGATAACTCAGTTGTTACTTTTCAATCTATGAGATTTTGGTCCGTTATTCTTTCCTGCATTGCAATATAAAAGCATCGGAACATAAAAATATCCCCCCTCCTTTCCACATTTTTCTATCCATCTATCCATTCATCCGTGTTTCGTATCCCCTTATCTGGCACACACCCTACCGGATAAAATTAAGGCGGCTTCATTTAAGCAGGCAAATGTTGGCTGGATCCTGCACCCACAGATATGAGCCTTACACAAAAGAGACCTTGGACGTTGACTGGGGACAATAAATCTGAATATTCAACATCATCCAGTGGCAGAATCGGAAGAAGAGGAGGAGACACAGACTAGCAAACAGTGACAGAGGGGACTAAGTGGCCTGATTTGGGCACCCCAGATGAATCTCTTGCATGGTATGCAAGAAGGGGCTGTTTTGTGACTTCCAGGATCTCACTGAAAGAGTCCGTTTGGGGTCCTCCATGTTGTTCTGACTGTTTGTGGCCAAAAAGGGCCCCCCACAGCTCGGGAACCCACGCAAATGCGTGTTATCAGTGGTGGTAAACATCACCTCTACATGCAAGAGGTGTATTAACACGATTTTTTGTATGGTTGTTGATTCATCCCTCCATCCATTTTCAGTCAGGGTTAAGGGGATTGTTTATTCATTTATCAGTCTTGCACCAACTGCAGTGTTTATACTTGTAGCAATAAAAAAAAAACACTTCCCATACCTCCTATTCCATAACTGTGAGCCAAAAGAAAAAAATGAGTGAACATCTCTTCTTAAACCAATTTAATCAGCTCAAAAGCACAAAAAATGTATCAAGCACTTGACAAGACCAGACAAAAACATCCACAATCTGTATGGTGCTAATTCTGCTGCAGTATGGGCAATAATTCAAGCTGGGGGAAAAAGGGAGAGACCAAACACTCTACTAGCACTATAGTTACTAACTCATACCCTGCACTGAGAAAATGGCAAGAACTGGTTTAAGTAACCCCTGGGATTATCTAACAGTCAGTCACAGCGGTCAGTAATTCCTGTAATGAACTAACAACCTGCCACAGCTGTCAGTATTCTTGGAAGACAGACTGAGTCAGAGGATGTGACTGAGGTGAAGGGGTGGAATCCATCTTTACAGGCCTACGTAGAATCTGATTTACATAACGGTTTGTGGAATGAGTTACTTACATCAGTCGAGAGTTGCATGTATATATGGATAGACTCTTAGATATATTATTAAATTATTATTATTTGCTTAGTACTTTCTTTTAATTCAGTTAAAACAACTAGGATTTTTTAAGTAATTATGTACGTCTGCGATGGTTTGGTACCCCGTCCAAGGTCCTGTGTTATTCCCCGTCTCGCGTCCGTCGCTTCAAGGATAGGCTCCGCCCCCGCGACCCTGCATAGCACAAATGGGTTTAGAAAATGGATGTAAAAATGTCCTTGAGAAATAAGTTAAGTGCATACGCCAGGGTTACTTTGAAATGCTTGCTCCACAGGTAGCCAGACTCTCTTGCCTGTCTCCGCTGTCTCTGCTCTCAACAGCAGAAACACAAACTAAGGCCGGTATGAAAGCTGCGCCGCACCCGAGGAGCGCGCGCGCACACACGCACACGCGCGTGAAATACCTGGAAGCCGGTGGGAGGCCGCTGGTTATCGTCCCCAACGTCAGGGGCGATCTGTTACTTAATAATCTGCAGCAGTAAACAAACTGCAAAATAAGTCATTTTATTCGGCAACCTTGTACATCAAAATGCATTAGTAATACATTCATAGAGCAACTTCATAATGCATTTATAATGCTTTCATAGAACATTAATAAGCAGTATGTAAGTATACATTAAAATGAAGGTGTACTTAATGTTATTTGAATATGTTATAAATACATTATGAAGGTGCACTTAATGTAAAGCGTCACCAGTAATTCTGTTATTATAATTTATTTAAATTCTGTTTTAGAAATAAGTAAGTCTGGCTAAAGCGAAAAGAGCTGCTGTATCAGATAACAACGGGTAACGCAAAATAACAGGACAAAGTCTGTGGCTTCAGATTTTCGCTATATTGCAGATCACTGTCAGAGCTGCAGCAGTGAGCAATTCCCAGAAGTCCGGCACAGACATCGGGCAAAGTGTTACCCTGCACTATGAAATTCTTTACAGTGTATGCAGACCAGGACACCCCTCTGTCGGACAATAAAGTTTGAATCACACAGGCTTTGAATAACCTTTAATGAAAGGTTCAACCTTTAATGAATTTGTTCAGCTGTGACAAAGCTCCAGTATGCTCTTTTTCAATTTCAGAGTGCAGTTTTCAAAATAAAAACTAGGAAACCCGCAAAGCACGTACACTTCTACTATCAGCATAAATTACAATATAACGATATCGGAATATGCGTGTGTGGGCAGGACTCACAGCAGGTGGTAATGAACTATACCCAAAATATACAGATATTAACATCAGAATAATTTACAGGAGTATAGATAATAAAGATACACACTGATACAGAAATAACTCACAGCATCGCGGCACGTTCACAGTGCTTTTTAATGACTGAAACACAAACGATCGGAAAAAGCGGTATCGCTTTATCGTGCCCTCGCCAGGAGGGGACACGGTTGGCACATTGCTCTCATCGGAACTGTCAGTTCGGTTTGTCGTCAGTAGTCCGGGTGGATCGATTGCTGGCTTGGTGTTTTTCGTGCGAGTGGTGTTCTCAGGCACATGATCACCAACCAAGCTGGCGACATCACCCACAGGGACGACGAGTAAACTCAGCCAAAGTGCAAACGGGTTTAAAATCTTTAAGCAGCTTGTTCGGTTATCAGAGAATAGATCCAAGCTTTCAAATAAGCGTCACTATAAATGAGGCTTTTTCTTAACACTTGTAGCCTTTCCAAAAATCACAGATATTTTGCACATCGTAGACTTTAGCAATGTGTCTCTTCCGTTCACAGTAGTTTCACAGTAAAGTCAATCAACAAACACAATAGATGATTTCATAAACAATAAGCATGTTACTTTTCTCATGTCGTTGGTGTGCACATACCTTATTAGCCATGCCCTGAGTACTGAGACAGCCAGGGGGCGCTGATGCACTGGCAACTTTCATCTTTTGGAAGGGGGGTGTGGGGGTTCAATATTTGCCCCTTAGGTCACAAGAGCAGGAGCAGGGGAAGTTGCACCAGCAGCAGAAGATCTCCTTAAAGGTCTTGCGCATCTCCTGGCTGCGGAAGGCATAGATGATGGGGTCGATGACCGAGTTGCACATGATGAGAATGAGGTACATGTTGAAGTGCGACATGAAGCAGACACAGTAGGGGTTCCGCGGGCAGGAGATCATGAGGATAAGGTGGAGAAAGAAGGGGGCCCAGCATACGACAAATACACCTAGAAGGATGGTGAGTGTGATGGCACCTTTCATGTTGGTCGCCTGGTGGATGGGCGCGTTGCCAGGCAATGCGGCGATGCGTTTAATGTGCAGGCGCGCCAGCAGGAACATGTGGACATACAATGAAGCCATGAGGACCAGCATGGCCAGGAACATGGTGATGAGGAGGATGAGCACGGTGGTGCTCTCCGAGTAGACGATGAAGAGCACGCCCGAGATGGTGCAGAATGCCCAGATGCTCGAAATGATGGTCAGTGCCCGGCGCACCGTCACGATATTGTGGTAGCGCAGCGCGTAGAAGATGGTGACGTAGCGGTCGATGGCGATAGCCAGCAGGCTGCAGATGGAGGCCAGCAGTGAGCTGCAGATCATGGAGTCGAAGACGTTGTCCATGGTCTTGATGAGCGCCACGTTGATACTTAGGTTGCCGCTGGTGATAAGTGCGATCACCATGGTTTCCGTGGCGTTGGAGACACTCACCAGCATGTCGGCCACCGCCAGGCTGCAAATGAACAGGTACATGGGCGAATGCAGGTTCTTGTTCTTCACGATGGCTGCAATCACCAGGATGTTCTCCAGCAGGCTGACGATGCCCAGCGCCAGGAACACCTCGTTGGAGATCAGCAGCTGCTCGTAGCAGCCAGAGGAGGACCCTCGACTTCCCAGGGTCACCTTGCTCCCTGGGGGGGCCCCCAGAGTGTGGTTCCTGGGGTGGTGCCCATTGAGCATTCCTGTCGAATTCATCCTCTGCTGCGTCAAGCTCAGCCCTTCGTCATTACGCCACCCAGGTCTGACAGGATGGTGGAGGGTGGCGAGAGCTTTCCAGGGGTACAGGGTGAGTCGGCGGGGGATGTTGGGGCAGGTAATCTGCTCATGAGCCTGGCTGGCGCACGTGTGAGGTGCAGATACTACCCGAAGACAGCATCTTAAGCACCCTCTTGGGCCGGCCTTCAATCACTAGTAAACACCTCATTTTCTTCCGTTGTGCATCTAATGTGCCTGTCTTGAGTCTTCTCTTGCCAGAGTAGATGGGACTGAGAGAGAGAGAGAGAGAAAGAAAGAGAGAGAGAGGTGATGGGAGATAAAGATGGAGAGAAGCAGAGGGAGATGAGTCAGCGGACTTACTCTGAGTCTGTCACCGCACCCTGGACAACGAGGCAAGTCCGAGAGCAGAGAGCATGCTGCGAGGTGTACCGTCACAGGGCACGGCAACAACTCCTGCTCCCTTCACTATTATATCCCTGATGTGCATATTGGGGAAGGGGGAGGGCATGACTCCGCCCTCAACCTTTGCTCTTAGCCAATCAGGACACACTTTGGCGAGGGGGGGAGGGGGGCCAGAGTGCATGCGGTCTTTGCAGCATAACAGAAGCAGAGCTGTGAATGGTGTCGGGGGGAGGGGGGGGGGGGGAACTGAGTAACTCCCGGTGATGCATTTTGCTTAATTTTCTTTATTTTATATCCATATGGAATCTATTGTTTTATGAATTATCTCCTTTTAAATTTACATTACATGTAGTGAGGTATGAAAACAATAGAATTAGTAATTGGGGCTGATTAGTAAACATAGTTCTTATGAAATGTGGGAGCTGCAGAGTTGTTCCTGTCTGCCAAATGCTGAAATAAGATTCTGGCTCCCATTTCCTGACCAGATCTTGAGAGTTCCACCTCAGAAATAGAGGCATGGGCCATGGAACTGGGGGGTGGGGCATCCTTAAAAATACAGTGATGAGCAATCACAAAATAATTGCCTACAAATAATTTTATGTAAGCTGTAAAATGTTATTAATAAAAGCCTAAATTATATCTGAATTATCATATCTGTGTTTTTCAAAGGCAAACATCATTGAACATGACTGTATGCCCCCCCACCCCCCCGGTTCATGGATGGGGGCATATGCTGTGCTTAATCTGGAACTGGCTTCATCCTGCTTCAGCCAAATACTTTCCGTAAAGATACTGCCATCACCTTGCTGCTGCTTCTTTACACGTGGGAGAAGTGGGACTTATCAGGAGCATAACAGAGGTTCTCCAGCAGGCCTCCTTCTCCAGCAGGCCTCCTTCTCCAGCAGGCCTCCTTCTCCAGCAGGCCTCCTTCTCCAGCAGGCCTCCTTCTCCAGCAGGCCTTCTCACCCTTGCGTTCCCATGCGAATCTGCAAGGCCCTACATCCCAGAAACTAGCGCCGTGCAACGAAAGAGAGGCCACAGCTGAAAACGCAACAGGACAAGGTGCTTTGTAAGTTTAATCTGTTCATTTTATCATTTTATTTATGGCCTCCTCTCAGTTTTTCACTATAATCACTATAGTATAAATACCAAAATTCAAGATTTGACCTGTCACATGCATAGTTATACTGGTACAATTTGCAGTGAATAATAAGTTTGCAATATGTAGAAAGGGGGTTAAGATAAATTGAAGAAAAACTGATGCACAGTTGGACAACAGCGACAAGTATAGTGTCTGAGCATTTCAGATGGGCTTTGCCCCCCCCCCCCCCCCCCCCCACACACACACACACACACACACAGGCACCGTGCTTGTCCGAGAGTATCACTGCCTGATGTTTTGGAAGGCAATTATGCTTAAAAGGCAAGACATTTCAAAACGCACTCTCATGAAATGTCTCCTGTTGTGGCTCTGCCATCGCAAGCGGACCGATAAAGGGGGTCGGTTCTGGAAATTTCTATGCTCGGCCCACTAAATTGTGTCTGATCTTGGTGGCATTCATACTCGCCCCCAGACATTGACCGAGACGGACCTACATCCTCGGAGTCATCCTGGCTGTGCCCCCGGTCCACCGAGTATTCATGAATCGAGCTGAGCAGGCCGTACATTGACTTTTTCTGTTCTTTTTTGTAAAAAACAGATGAGTCATATGACATGATGGGTCTTGTAAGGTCTGGATGAACTGAAAAAATATAACCAGGCCCATAATTTAAGCCTGCAAACAGAGCATACTATTCTTTTGTTTAATATCAGCAGGTTAACTTCACCATAAAATACTAATAGCTACCGTTCCACCTGACATATTTCTGCTAAGAAGTCATAGGGATTTTCTCGTGTATGTTGTCATTAATCCATATATTATGTAAATAGCCAAAACAATCTGAATTTGGTGATCAGTGGCCATTGTTGACACACCACAGTGCGCAACAACAGAATGTGTCCTCTGAATTTAACCCATATATGACATAGCAGGGGGCAGCTAATTCAGCACCCAGGAGCAGTGCTTGGGGGCGGTACCTTGCTTAGAGTACCTCAGTGGTGCCTTGCTGGTCAAGGATTCAAACCAGCAATCTTTCAATTACCAGCGCGCTTCCCTAACCATTAAGACACCACTGCCCAATCGCTGTAACAAATGCAAAATGTGCTGAATTAAATCTATTAAGTGGAACCCCATAATGAAAAGTTGTTTCTGCTCATAATTATTATGATATGACTTTAACATACAGCAGACTGATTAAGAATTATTTGTTTAATTTTGTTTGCTTATAATTATCGCAATATGGTGTTAACGGACAACGGACTCGTTTGGAAATATCTGTTTAATTTTGTTTGCTTATAATTATCGTAATATGGTGTTAACGGACAACAGACTCGTTTGGAAATATTTGTTCACTTTTGTTTGCACATAATTATTATGATATGGCATTAACGTACAGCAGACTCGTTTATATTCATTTGTTCACATTTGTTTTTATTGCAACTCTCACTTCTCTGCCCCTTTCAAAATTCTGTCGTGCCGCCACAGCTCTGGAATGTTACTTTCATCTGAGAAATTTGACAATCCTTTGGCCCCAAACTACTGGCCCTGATATCTTGTAAACAACTTTACCAGAAGTTATTAGATACTAAATGACTTTTGCTGCTCATAAACCCTCTCGCTGTGGAACCTCACAACCACCCAGCCATTAACAGGGGCAGCCAAATCAAGCTTACCTGAGTATGATTCCCTGTTGTTGATATGAGGCTGATAACCAGTCTCCATGGAGACACAGCTGGTTAACCCAATCTTTTGAGACTGCTCTAACTCTTCTTGGCTCAAATTGTTTATATTAATCACAAAACAACAGTATTATGTTACAAATAACTCACAGCATGCATTTAACAGTCTGTTCCTTATTACGATAAAAAACACTTAGTTCTTGTGAGAGGACTTATGCAGCAAACATCACCCATTTAACACGTTAGCCAAAGACAACGACACCTGTTAAACGGAATGTCTTCCGAACACCTCAGAAGTGAGGGTGGGAGACCATCGGACAGATCATTTAATTCTGCTTGAGTTTCCTGGAACGCTCACACATCTGTTCATGTGACGTGTTGCTGCACCTTGTATCCGAATTTGTGTGATGTATCATTTACCCCGCGAGGTGACACAAGCTCATTATTCACACCTCACAACTGAAAAATGGAATTAAGGGCAAAGAGGTACATCCATTTAAGCTCTTCCACGTCGTCAGTCTGTAT